TGATTAAATGAAAACGTAGAGGATACTATACTGTAGAAAAGCTCTGCACCTAGAGTTTTACTTTTTTAAAGATGAATTCTGCTGGGAGATGTTGCTAATGTATTTTCTTTCAAGATGTGAACAAAGTTTTTTAGAACATTAACAGAAATTCCTGTATTGGTTTTTAACACAACTTTTTAAAATAAAAGGTTTACAGTCATGGCAAAAAGGCTTTGCTGACTATTTACATATTTGCCTAAAATACAGATGAATAAACTTGTTTTTACTAAGACACTTCCTAATGTTTGATCTTGATTATCCTGTTTCTTTATGATGCAGAATTATATACTGAATTATAAAACTGGTTTCCTGAAGAGTGGCAATAGAATTATCCTATGAAGTGTTTAGATAAAAAATTTAAATAGTGTCCTCAATACTTTGTCAGCAATTGGGTAGTCTTGTATTTTAATAATGAAATGTACATATTACTTTAAATCTAAAGATAAAAACATTACACTCTTACATTTTTTTATTTTGTGAAACCTGTTGAATTCTAATGATTCTCCACTCTGAACTGCTTTTAAAATCAGTGCCGTGTATCTTGACTCAAGAAATCTGTGGAAAAAATCTCTACCATCTTGCATTATACTTTCCTTCACATTCTTTTCATGACTTCTTCTTTGTAGATTTGTAAATCAGTTGGAGAAGGAGAAAATAATAATACAGGTATCTTCTCAAGAGCAAATTGGCTTTTGTCCCATAGATGTGAATGTAAAGTAGTTCAAAGTCAGTAAGTATTTTGTAACCTTACTGAGTTTGATCTCTGATTTGAGTCCTAGTTTCCCCATCAAGCAATCAAAGTTTAAACTAATTCACATTACTGTGTAGTCAAAAGCAAGTACCAGACATCAGCTGTTCTTCAGTGTTCTATGAAAAAATAATTAGTTTGTTTCTGAAAACTTCTGATGAATGGTCATGGGGTGTAGGTTGTTGTTTTTTTCCTGTCTGAACATCAGACAACTCAAAGATACCTAAGAGACTGTGAAGCCCTGTTTCTCCAAATGAAAACAGATGAGAAGTAGTGAATATCCACTGTATTAAATGGTATTCTCCTGAAACAATGTACTTGCTAAGTGGTGTCTAGCAGCTTTACCTTTACCCAGGAAAGAGTATTTCATGCACAGCTGGTGTAGTTTTACATAGAAGCTCATCATCAGTGTTAGACAAGTGAACAAATAGGCTAAGAAGCATTAAACTGTCAAGTTTTTTTGTCTAGAACGGGCTCTCTTGTTCTTGCCAAATCGTGTTGAGCAGGATTTTGTAAATTGAACTTTCCAGTGGTTAGGATTAAGGTAAGTTTCAATTTCTTAGATATTTCTCCTGATGTAAAATTGGGTTTTAGTAATGTTTTTCTCTTCAGGAATAAAGTCTATGTTCTGCATTGCAGCAAACTCCTGTGACCCAGCATTGGAATTTCTGAAGGGGGTGATTTATCCTGAGCTCTTTCATGCTTACTTGAGCACCATTTTTAAAAAGTCAAGTAAAAGTCTGCTCCTGAGGCAAACCATGCCAGATCTTACACTCAGCCTGTGCTGGGAAAAGGCTGTTGCTGTATGACTTAATTCTGGACTAACTATGATTTTTTCATTGTTCAAGTTGCCTATTACTGCTATATTTCAGCTCTGTTGACAGACTGCAAAGATAAGGTGTAGTGAAATGTTCTTTGAAATAAAATCTTTATTTGGAACAACTAAGAACATACTGGGATTGTGTTTGCAAATACAGATTTCAATAATTTCTTTCAAATGCTTTTCATTGCAGCTGTAGTGAATATGAGAGAAACAGCAATTTTCTGTCCTCCTCTTCCTCTGATTTGCAAGTCAGTGTTGTGAGTTTGGCTGGGCCTGGAAGGAAACTTGCCATGGTATGAATGTTCTTATGTTCTTGCAGATGGCCTTCCTTTCTGGATTGAGACGGGAGCAATCCTATTGATTGACTGTCTCCTGTATTTACTCATGCTCTAGCGAAGTGTAGCCAAAGGGGTGCCTCCTGTCATCTCCCCATCTTCAGCTATTGAAAGCTGATGCCATTTTCACGAGGAGGAGAATCAATATGAGGATGTTTCTACAAGCAACAGGATGGTACTGTTGATCTTCTCTATGTCCTGTCCCTACTTCTAAATTTTGATCTGGGGGAAAGGAATGATGAGCCTGAAGCAAATAGGCTAGTGCCTAGGCAGAATTCAGGGTCAGGAAAAGACTAGACTGAGAAATCTTTAGGGAGTGGCCAAAGCCCAGTGCATGGGAAGGAAAGTATTATGGGCCTAAAAAGGCCAGAAAAAGACAAACTGAAACCTACAGCTTTGTTATATGCAAATCTCATGTGAGGACTGCCTGATGACTTTTTTGATACCTTTGGAATTGGCACTCTTCAGAAATGGCTGTGTGTAAGAATTCCCATTCTGGTTTTAACAAACTTTGAAGTGGGTGCTTGGTCTGTAGGATTAAGTCTCTGCAATTGGATGATGAGATAAGTGGGAGCAACTGGACACTTCAGGGAAATTGTAAAGGACTGGTGCCATTTGCAAATGTAGCAGTTGCTGCAGAGAACTGTTGGAGATTGGCCTTGCTTACAGGTAAGCACCTAATCATCATGGCTGACCTGAGCCTTTGTGCTGCTTTTGGAATAGGAATTTTGCAGGCTTTAGCTACATCAGCACCCTGCAGAAATAGTTGAACTGCCACTGACCTGAACCGCTTTCATCTAATGTTGCTGCTAAGTCAGTAAGTCCTGCTAAAGTGGCTTTGGTCTCAAACTGGTTTTCTTTGTCTTACTGCTCTATGATACAGGGCTGCGCCAGGCTGTGCAGCACCAGGGAACTTGCAGCTTGTAAACTGCTTTGCCCCAGAGCGCTCATGTATTTTCTTCTCTGAGTGTTTTATAGCACTTTGGGACATGAGTTATCCACATGCCCCTGTATAGCCCCAAGGAGAAAGGACTAAGATTGCCCTGCCTTTGTCTTCAAATTTTTGAAGCGGGGAAATAAAAGTGCAGCTGAAATTAACAAGGAGAAACTAATACAGCAATGTTCCTGAACATAAAAGAAAAACACCTTCTGCTTTAGTCACCTTTCAAGGGATATATTTACAGGCACCTCAGGGAATTACCAATAAACAGCAGGAAGCAATTATTTCTATTAGACTTCAATATGTTTTCTTCATTTATCTGATGGTATAAACAGCTGTGTAGATTGTGGCATTCAAATGGCTTGGAATAAAGTTATTTTCAACAAAACTGAGTTGCTCTTAAAAAAGGTGATGTTGGGGTAGTTTTGCATATTATGTTTTTGCTTCTGAAATAATTAAAGCACATATTTCTTCTAACTGTCCACCCTTGTTGCCCTGCTGGTAGGCATCTGTCCTGAACAGGTTTGATCTTGCAGCTCAGCATGAGAAGCCAAATAATGAAGAAAATGCTACAAATTACTTCAAATGGATATTGTTACATATTTGGAAGGGTGTTGCAATAAGTATGTCAATCCCAGTTTTGCAAGCTATTTGTACTTCCAGTTTTTACTGTGATTTAAAACATCCATTCAATGGTGTATTCTCCTCTCTGTGAAGCTGAGAAAGGATTTTCTGGGGAGCAGTCAGCTTTGAATGACCCAACTGGGGCCAATGTGATTACTGGCAGGGATGAAGACTTGACTGAAATGAAGCTGGAGCCAGATCTTCAAAGATATTCTAGATGATGGATGCCCACAGAAAACAGCCATATAATTAATGCAGCTATATGTCAAACTCATAAATTACATATGAAAAGCCACCTCTCATTTTTTCCTCAAATAACAAGCAACAGATTTGTGTCCTTTGAGAAGGCTGCTCTCTGCTGCTGCAGCCTTCAGAAATGGCCTAGTCTGAAATGCTATGCTTGGTTTGATTGTCAGTATTAAAAACTGTTTTGTGAAAAATATTCTTATTTGGGGGAAAATTTTAAGACTTTGGAGCTGAAATGCTTCTACTGTGGTTTTTAGGTTATCTAGCACAACAGGGTTCAACCTATAGTGATGGACAGTACCAAGAAGTGTGTGATGAGATATTCTACACAGAATGGGGATGTCACCTGGAGAATTATTTATGTTGCTAGTGTTTGAGATCTGAACAGTAGCTGAGTCCCATAATATTAAGAGGTGTACAGCAGAGGAACAGTATTCAATCCATACCCTCTGGCTTTATAGAATCATGGAATCATTTAGGTTGGAAAAGACCTTTAAGATCATAGAGTCCAACCGTTAACCTAGCACTGTCAAGTCCGTCACTAACCATGTCCCTAAGCAAGCACATCTACTCGTCTTTTAAATACCTCCAGGGATGGTGATGGAACCACTTCCCTGGGCAGCCTGTTCCAATGCTTGATAACTCTTTTGGTGAAGAAATTTTTCTTGATATCCAGTCTAAACCTCCCCTGGTGCAACTTCAGGCCATTTCCTCTCGTCCTATCCCTTGTTACTTGGGAGAAGAGACTGATACCCACCTCACTACAGCCTCCTTTCAGGTAGTTGTAGAGAGCAATAAGGTCTCCCCTCAGTCTCCTTTCCTCCAGACTAAACAACCCCAGTTCCCTCAGCTGGTCCTCATAGGACTTGTTTTCTCTTTATCTTGTCTTTCTGTCTTGTCTTGTTCTTGTTTTTTCTCTCTGGTGACAGATATTACTGATTAATGGAAATAATTTCCAGCTTGGATTTTGTGGGGTATAAAACCAGCTGGGTGAAGTGCATCCCCAGCTAGAAGATGGCCACAGAAGACCATGGAGTTACATCAGAGACAACCCTGATCCGCAAGACTTTGTTTCTGTAATCCCCTCCTCACCAGGGTAACTAACTCCCAGAGGGCTCTCATACAAGTGGGGATTTCTCCTTCTCTCACCCTGCCTCTCTCTTCAGCGCTTTGCATGAGCACTGTGCAGTCTCAAGGTATGCTGCTGTCTTGTCTGTGAGGGGATCAGAGCTTCCCTCGAATGGGATGGATCCCAAGAGAGAGGTGCCCAAGAAAAACAACATGGAGCATCTAATTGGTAAGCCTTGCTTTGTGTATATGTGTGGTTTTTTTCTCATAATAAAAAGGAGCAAAACTAACCAAACAAAAAAAGTACATTTGATCCCAGGCGTTCATCATGTCTCCCACGTAGGCTGGAGAGGAAAATGCAGACTCTGCCACTGTGAGTGACAGAGCAAATTGCCTCCTATTGCCCTGCCACCATGCGTCAGCATCTACCTTCCAGCAAAATGACCCCAGGGACTAAAATCCCTGATTCAGCTATTGATATGCTTCTGTATGTAGGGATGAAGTGGAAAGGTTAAAATATGAGTTAGTTAGGGAAGGTGGAAGAATTTTTCAGCCCTAGAAAGACAGTTGATGTGTTTGGACTGGCGTGATGAACAGTTGGTGCTCTCCAAGCAAGGGAACCGATGCCAAACCAAGTTGTTACTGGCAATGTGTGCTGTTTTTACCATTGTGTCTGGCCATAAGTATGGATGGTGTGGTGGGACAAGCCTGTGTCTTGGCAGGATTGATTTGGGTGCATGTAGAAAGCAGGAGGGTATATAGTGGTTACAAGAGGCTGAGTCTATTCCATCTCTTTGTTGCTGTAGGAGACCTGGGAGATTTTTGCCTGCAGTTATATTCTTCACAAGACAACTTGGACATGAGCTTTTCATTTGCTTTTCAAGTTTGACACCCACATCGTGATTTTGTGTATCAAGTGTGTTCGTGATGTACCGTGATGAGTGCATGAAGAAAAAATGAAGTGAATCTTATGAGTGTCTTGAAGCTTTTCCTCAACTGCCGATTGATGAGCTTTCACATTTTGCAGTGCATTGCAGCTCCTGGTTTGCTCTGGACTGTAGACCCAAGTGAGTTTTTTTGGTGGTTACAACTCTTGTAATCTATATACAGGCATGGCAAAATCAGATCACTGATATGTTGGGTTGTGACTGATGCTTATTCACTATTGTGCTTTTCTAGAGTCTTCCATTTGTCTTGTGGTTAAACGGTTTGAAAATTTGGGGTAATCGGAGAACAGTTGTGGTGGGTTTTGGGAAGCTAAGTCAGGATTCACTGTTAAGAAGGCATGCTTTTCATATCCTGCTTTTCTCATTGGAATCTACATTTTTACCTGGCATCAGGATCTCTAGGACAGTTCTCATGGAGAAGGATTCAGTTGTACTTTGTTAAGTTTTGGATGTATGCTTTTTGCCCATAGTGGCGATAAGTGATATCTTGGCCCCCTACCTCTTCTCAGCTGCTCAAATATCAATCTGCAGAGTGTGGGCATTTGTTCCCAGCTATTCCCCCCCCCGTCTGTGGAGTGTGTCATTCCTACCGGGTATCTTCACAGTGGTCTCAGGTGGGCGATGGCAGATGATGCTACAATCCAAAATTGTTTTCAAGCAGGTTCTTCATAACCAAGTTTGGCACTGGAGAAAAAGATCTTCAGGCATTTTCCTGTAAGCTAATAATTTAGGTGAAATAGAGAGAGTGTAAAGCATTGAGTTCCAGTGAACAAAACATCCTTCCATGATTAATTTCCCCAAGTTTTGGATTAAGAATTATGAATGATGCCCATTCCATGAGTTTCCTTGATCTCTTTCCACTGATTAAAAGACACTTAACTGCTGGTGCTTCGTGTACCTGTTGTAGCCTGACACACCACTAGTGTTAACATGAAATACACTGTGTGGCAAACAAGCAGCAGTGAAAGCATTGAAGATTTTCACATTAAATCTTAAAAGTCCTGTCTTTATACACATGGCCTTAAGGTTTGCATGGTAATTTACTGAGGAGAGCTCCTCAAATCATTCTTACCATCGATGGCAGAATGGCTGATGATACCTCATGAAACAACCAGGGCTTTCAAATAACAGTTTGTTGGAAAGGATCAGAAGAAAAGCTGGGCTCCTGGTGCAGCAATTCTGTGCCCAGCTCTCAGGGAGTAGGATGGGTAAAACTGTGAGCAACAAAGGGCTTGTTTGTAACACCCAGGTTTGCAGTTAACATTGCCAGCAGGTGCAGTCCAGCTATGCACAGGGGTACCCAAGAGAGGAAGGAGCTGCAGGAGGGCTATGTTGTGTCTCCTTCTCCGGGGCTGCTGGGGGTTTTATGACAAACCTGTCAGTCCTGATCCGCTGGTCTGTTTGTTAGCTTGTGTCTTACAGATCAGGTAGCCTCATGCTGTTTCACTGTGGTGACAAGTTTTTTCTCACAGAGTATAAAATCAGTAGTTTTCTATTTATCAGTTTCTATCTGCATATGAATTTTATTTGATGTCAGAAATTCCTAGTGCTACCCTAGACCTTTGAAGCAGCATATTCAAAACACCCTGCATCTTTCCATCAGCATGGGGGAGGTTCTCTGAGGAGACCTCTGAGCCTTCATCCCTCTCTCCTGCCTCTTCCCCTTGTGTTGGGAACATAGGCTGTGGTGTTCAGCTTCCTGTCTGCTGATGCTCATGCTTGCAAAAATCCTCTTCTGGCCCAGATGTGGCAGCCGGGCAGCCCTTGGGGCTACTCCAGCCCGCATGCCTGCTGCTTCTGCTTTTCCCGTGACTCTCCTGATCCAAGGCATTTCTGCATTTAGCAAAATTCAGTTGACCTTGCAGCACTCTGTCCTGATGGCAGGACTGTCCTGTTTTCACTCCTTGCTCTCTTCTGTGCCTCTTCTTTGAGGACCTCAGCAGCTCCACCTGCCCTTCTCTTCAAAGGGCAGCTGCTCCTTGATCACCTTTTCCTTGCAAAGAGCCTCCCAAACTTTTAGTACTTGAACAACAACTTACTACTGCCTTGCTTCAGACACTAAAATAATGAAATTATTTTGATATATTTTGATTTTATTATAATGAAATAATGAAATTTCATTATAGTGAAATTTTGGGATGAGACAAGCTGAATGCAGTGAGAGAATGCTCAAAATGCATGGGCGTGTATCTTGACAAACACTGATTTTGAAGTTTATGGCCCAGTGGATGAACTGGTCCATCCATATTCCTCAAAATGTTCATCTAAAGACAGCAGGAGTTCTCTCATTTTCCTTAATACCTGTTCCATACAAACTAAATTTTTTGCCCCAGCCATGGCACACTGACAGAGATTCATATCCATGGATATTCCACCCAGTGATTTATTTCTCCTTAACAGCCCCCAGCTTTGGCAATGCCTTTCATTTTTCCTCTTTCTTTCCTGTTACAAAATGTACTTTCTGAACCTTTTAACCTTTTGGGCAGAAAGGCCGTAAGGTTGGATATTTGGTTAGGCCTTTTGTGGTTTTCTGTGAGCGATGGGAGGGAGGAAGAAGGAGTGAGGCTCTGTGGACTTTGCAGTCCCTCATGATTGCACTGGGCTAGGTCTACATCCCTCAGGCAACTCTTCAAAATTTGCCTTCATTGCTCTTCTTCCTTATTTTTTTTTATAGCTGACAGGCAGGAAGGAATTGGTGTCTGTGGCTGGATCCTGGTTTCCCTTTCATTCCTCCTGGTCCTTATTACCTTTCTGATTTCCATCTGGGCATGTATCAAGCTAGTGCTCTATTATCATCGCTGTTACTTATCTTTATTGATTTATTGATTTTGTTAAGACAAGGCACTTCACATTCACTTTTTGGAAATCATAAGGGCTTGTAGTGAAGATGTGATCTGGGACCGAGATCCATGTTCTTCCACTGACTTTCTGTACCACCACAACTTACTCATTTAATTTCTTCCAATCTCAACTTCCATCATCAGTTAAAATTCCCTGCTTTACAACACTGGGAGAATAAATCTACAAACTTTTCTGCAGAACTCATACCGGATGCTGCCAACACTAGTGATTAACATGAGTGCATGGGAACATGGGTCCCTGCACTGAGTGACTGTATAACCTAAACCCACAAAATGCCCCTTCAAGATACGGGCATAAGGTGATTAATTTAAAGCAATTTTTAGGGATGAGTTACCAGGGTGATTGCCCTGAACACCAGGCCTTGAGCAGTCCTGATACACTAACCAAAGTAGTTAGCTAATCTGAGGTGAGACATACTTTGCCTACAGCTCCTCTGAGTGTAGTACTGATGTTGGGAGAGTTGTGGGTAGCCTCATTAGATCAGTGGCAACTCTTTCATACTTGATCTGTTTTGTAACCTGTTTGCAGGGCCAAGGTCTGAGTTCTTCCAGCAAAGCATAAGGTGAAGAGAAGATGTAAAATGCCTAGTGATTTGCAGCTTTCTTGGTTCCTATATTATTTGTACTTTTTTCACATTTAATATGGATGCCAAAGATTAAAAAAATCAGACCAGAGAGTGGCAATAGAATTAGTTGTAAAATTCTAAATTTAAAATATTTTCCTAGGTTATCAGAGAATATGAACGTGTTGTTTTATTTCGTCTGGGACATATACTGTCTAAGAAAGCAAAGGGACTAGGTGAATGCATGCAGTTTTATTCTGTTAAGATGCACTGGGTTTATTTTATTATGGTGCACTCTAACCACATAGAGAATTGCAGAGATCCATGAAATCCTTCTTCATAGCATTGGGGGAGATGAGATGGTCCTCTCTGCTGCAGTTCCTTTACCTGCAGGCTGTTCATTTTCTGAAGAGAAGATAAAGCCACCCCCCTGTCACAGCACAACACAGAAGGTTGAGCACCTTGATACCAGGTATGACTTTGCTGTTGAGTAGGTTGGACAACGGAAGGTTGAGCTCATGCTGCAGACACTGGCAGGGAACCAGGGAGGTTTAAATGCAGTCTTGAGGTCTGCCACAGACTTTTTTGAGTGACTGTGACCACTCTCCCTGTACCTCACTTACAGCACTGCTTGTTGCTACCAGCCCTTTAGCTGTCTTCTGCTCTGAAAATAGTAAATGTGTCAGGGCAGGGACATTCTGCATCGATACAGAGTTTGTTAGAGTCACCTAGGATCAGGTTACAAATCACAAATACAAACCGAACCCAACAACATGAGGTATTTCCATCAGTGCAGCTACCACCTCTATGCAATGAAACTGGGCAAACTGGAAGCTGAAATAAGAGGAAAAAGTCCTTTTCAAGGACTGTCCTTCCTCTTGAATAATAGCCATGTAGTCCAAACAGCAGCTAGGGCAGGTGCAGAGCTCTTCTGTGTGGCTCTGGGCACCTAAGCAAGGTGCTGAGATTAGAGTAATAGTTATGTCAAGTCTCCCTCTCCAGTGAAGGGAGAGTGGGGACTCCTTTACAGGATGTGTGAGATCTTGGGACAACGTTCCTCATGTGGGTGCTGCAGGAATCTGGACCTGGGGGATGTCTTTCCTGGGGACGCACATACTGTACTGTAAATGGCTTGTGATTTAAAAAGGGGGAACTAAACAAAAGCATGGAAGGAATTTTTGCAAAAAATCTCATGGCAGATTTGAGACCAGAACTGCAATCTGCGCATTCCTAGTCCAGAGCTCTAGCTCATTAAGCTCTAATAAATTCATATTATTTGCCAATATCTGCATTTCCCTCTGTTACTTGAAAATGCAAAACCTCACTGTTGTCACCTCCTGTAGCAGAAAGAACAGCTGTAGTAGTAAGTGGGCTCATTCCCCACCCTGTAGGTATTTCCATCTCTTTGCTTTGCACAGGGTATCTGTTGCTAGACTTAGCTTTCAGAAGTCTTTCATCTAATTACTTTTATTTTTCAGGTATGATCCTCATACTTCCATGTACAGATACATTGATCAAGGTTGATCTTAGAACAGTTACCTGTAACATTCCTCCACAAGAGGTAACTATTCTCTAGCAGCCATCTAAGACAGAAATAAAAGATAGAGCTGATTCATGACACGATCAAAAATAATGCAGGTGGTTTATAGTCTTGCAGCTGTGAGCTACCATATAGAATTTAGCTTATTTGCTGTATCTTCTGACTTCCAAACTGCTTACAGAACTTCTACTTATGAAAACCCGCAGACGCACCACTGCAGGTCAAGCAAACTCCTCTTGCTGATGTTCAGAACTGTGAGATAACAGATGGGGGTGGGGGTGGGGATAGAACTGCAGATGGGAGACAGAGAGGACAAGAGAGGAGAGGCTAAAAAATTCACAATTATAGTGTTATTCCATACATGGAAATGAAGCGATAGACTAGTGTAAGATATCCAGAAATGAATGTCCTAATAAAATCAGATCTGACGTGCAGCTCACAGTTCAAAAAAGCCTTCACTGATGTTGTAGTTGCTGCTTGAAGGTACGCACACTCTACATGTTTCTGAAAATTACATATGGGTAACAGATCTCCTTAAACTAACAGGAATTAGCAATCATCCACAAAACTCAGATCCAAGCAGGAGTGGTGGGGCGTATCTTTAGGCATTTTATTGACAAATATTGACTGAGGAATTTAATCTGAGGAATCAGTTGCTGAGCAATTCCTGTCCTCCAGATAAAGTTTTGGCTCCATGTGGCCCTAGCCCCACTGCAGTACAATGCTTCTGCTCATGAGTTGGCACTGCTGTGCCCTTCCCTACAGGAAGAGCAGAGGAAGAGATGGCCCCAGGATTGCCCATTGTGTTCCCCAGGAGCTGTTTCTTGGACCATTATCTTTCTGTAATCACAAAGAGCCTTTTCTCAGCGTGCAGGTTGCAGGGGTGCATGTGGTGGAATGAAAAATGGCTCCCCTGAAATGGGAGACTGGAAGGAAGGTGGTTGCAGTACTTGTGCTTTACAAGGCTTAGCGGCTTTTGGCAAAGCTTCTACAGTGGTTGGCAGGGCTTCTGTGAAGCATTTACTTGGAGGCTAAAGATGCTGAGGAGGGAAGAGATAGTGGAGCACCATTAGTGCTCCGCTGAGGCCAGCCGCCTGCTGAAGCACAGGGGACTTGTCTGGCAAAAGATGACACACCACCACTATGAATACTGAAATATTTTTCAGAGTTTCTTCTCACAATTTGAGCTTTGCTTTTAATTTTTGTTATAATTTGCTGGTGTTTCTTACAAATACACAGTTAAGGGGAAGCAGAACAAATCTTCCAAACTACATGCAATGTATAAAAACATTAATGGCCTTTTCTACAAGAAAGGAAGAGGATAGCCATCATTTATTATTGCAGAAGACATTAATTCAAGTTATGAGATTGACTTCCTATTGAAACAGTTGTTTAAAGGCTGTATACAACATTTTGCCCCATTTTAAACTTTGGTGATGCTGGATAGCTTCCTTGAAGTAATTTCTCGGAGGAATGACAAAGAAATCAAAAGAAATTTTTATCAGGGGCTTTTCCTCACTAAGGGGGAAAAAAATTATTCCCCTTCCTTGACAAAGGATGTCTTATTGGATCCTTCTCTAATTCTGTACATTTCTGGAATGCAGATTCTCACAAAAGATGCCATTACTACCCAAGTCAATGGGGCGGTGTACTACAGGATCCACAGTGCTGTCAGTGCCATTGCTAGCATCACTGATGTCCACTCAGCTACCTTCCTCTTGGCACAGACAACCCTAAGAAACGTTCTGGGTACACAGAGTTTGGCTCTGCTCCTGGCAAGGAGATTGCACACAGTATCCAGGTAACTCTGGCTCTCAAAATTCACTGAGAAGCATGGAGATGTGTTCAGAGGAGTAGCAAATTAGAAATAATCTTTCTTTTTTGAACAATGATAACATTTTCCTTTATGTTTTTTCAATTATGCATCTCATTGCTTAGAGTCAGAAGGAGTTATTCCAAAGGTATTTCCCCATGTTCTTGTAGAAGACTTATTTCCTATCAAAAAGCAAATAAGATTCTGAAATTATCCAGTGTCTCGAATAAATCAATTTAGTCTTTGCTCAAAGGCTGCTGCAAGTGGTGAGAAAGAAGTCTGCTTGTGGGAAGCTCTATCTTGAACAGACCCTTGATTGAGGTTTAATCAAGGCAAGGCTTGTATCTCCTGTAATAACAACTAAGAGTACAGAAGCAAGTTGTTTTATGCTTTAAAATGCCAGCTTTTTTGGTTTGTGTTTTTTTTTTTTTTTTTTTTTTTAATTTGGCAGCCAAGGAGAGAGCAGAGAAGAAATCCAACACCTGATCTGCTCTTTTCAGTCAGAGACAAGGCATAGTCAAATCAAAGAGAGATTGTACCCCTCTCCAGGCAGGAGAGCAGCCATCAGCAGAACCAGGGTCATGGTGGTGACGTGGATTGCAGTAGTGCCCAGGAGCCTAAGCCCAGAAGAGCATGCCAGTGCTGCAGGGCTGTGCTGTGTCTTTCACCCATAGTGTGCTTTTACAGCGTTGTGCTGTTTTAGGAAGTTGCTGTAGTATTACTATGTAAAAGGGAGAAGTTTGGTAAGTGCCCACCTAAAGAAAGAATGGGGATCATAATTTAGGAGGCAGTAGGGAAGCCACACAGAAGACACCAGTGTTGATGAGCAAGAGTGTCATAAAGTTGCGGTACCCGTCGTACACCCACACGTTGGATCTTGGTGCCCCTGGAGGGCCTGTCTTTCTGTTGTGCAGTGTTACGGATGCACAACTAACCAAATCCAACAGGTGTTAAAACTCAGATTTATTCTTCAGCAAAAGTTAGTTAGAAGTCCAGTAACATTTTATAAAAACACAGGCTCAATGGTGTAAAGAGAATTAATACTACATGGCTGACTTAAGAATCCCCAAGATTTAAAGTGATGGCTCAAAATGCACGTATCACTCACCCAAAAGCTGAGGCCTCTCTCCCTCGAGGAGTTACCTCGGGTGGTGCCCCGACCCGAGGGGGAATCCCCAACTGCAGACCCGCCAGACCCGCCGCTCCGAGGAGGACTGGTTCCAACATGTCCTCCGGTGGGACTCCCTTTATACTCCTGTCGAATCCCACCTGTGGGCATTTAATCCCTATTGGACAGGAGGGTCACCTCGGTGTACCTGGCACGTCTCGACTGGCCAGTTCAAATTTCAACCTGCAGCCTCCAGGGTTTCCTTCCCCTTCTCCCTCCCTGGAGAAGTTTTGTTTCCTGCTGGCAGGATGGGGGGCGGAATGTACTGCCACATGCAGGTTTGCATGCTGCCTTTCGTTCTGTCCAAGCAGCAGCGTACTCTCTGCCATCACTATGCTCTTCGTGGTGGGTTGTGTGTTTGTCCCTAAGGCTATCCTCGACAGCACCATGGAGCAGCGGGGAGTCAAAATGGCCCAAGCAGAGATCAAAGATGTCAGGATTCCCATGGCCGTGCAGAGGCCAATGGCAGCTAAAGCAGAGGCTGCTCGAGAGGCAAGAGCTAAGGTGAGATCCACAGCAATGTCTACCCCCTCAAGCTCCCGCATCCTTGTCCCAGGCATCCAAGTGCCTGTTTGTTTTCTCCTTATAGTAAAGGTGGATTTTCACCATTATGCATCACGGCACCATTTCTATTTCTGTTACTCTGCAGGTTGTGGCAGCAGAGGGAAAATGAATGCTTCTAAAGCCCTCAAGCAGGCCTCCATGGTGCTGGCTGAGTCTCCAGCAGGTCTTCAGCTGCACTACCTGCAAACTTTAACAACCTTGGCAGCAGAGAATAATTCCACCATTGTCTTTCCTCTCCCTATAAATGTGCTTGAGAGTTTGGGGCAGAAAAATAGAGGGGGATAGAGACTGCTCTGTGCTGGCTCCTTGGGCAGAGGTTTAAAGGGTTTTCTAGGAAACAAGGGGTTCCACATTACCAGAATTAAAGTACAAGCATGCCTGGGTCCTCTGTACCAAAAATAGGAGTAAAAATAGTTTAATAACCTCACATAGCTCTCACATTAGGAGACTGCATTTGCAAAGTTCAGGCGCTAAGCAGTTTCAGCATAGACTCATCTCCAAGTGAAATGGAACAAAACATGTAAAGGTGCATGTTTGACCCAATATGAAATTTTAATGGTGCTTTTACCACATTTTACAGAGTCTTGAGCGTAGCAATTATTTGGTGAATTGTCTGCTAAGCAAGAACCTCTAAGCAATTGATGTACTCCACACAGCAAAAGGGTCAGATGCTGGTATTTAACTCAAGTCCTGCTGTGGAGTGGAAAGAAGGATCTGGCCTCTAACTTTAGAGGTATTCTTTCACAACTATTAGCAGAATTACTGGATAATTGGTATGTCAGTGGAACAGCCTATTCTTTATCTTATATGAGTAAAAATTAGTACTTGCTTTACTGACCTCAGCTGGATTTTTCCATATCACTGACATTTTTATAAGCTCAGTAATAAAAGGAAGGGAATATATGCTCATGCATTACAGTCACATTTCCTAAATCTGAAAGCTGGGGCAAACCTTGAGGAAAACAAATTGTCCTATGTTAATTTAAGTGTGTGTCTTTCACTTTCAGGAGATTTCTTATCCTCCCATGCAGATGCCACGAAGCAGTGGTGCAGGTTTTCATAAAATGAGCCTTCCCCTCCCTCCATCCATGCAATGTCTGGCAGCTGAGCAGGGGGACATGCCTGATATCTGAGTTCAGCTGCTGTTATACCTGAGTTTACAGCCTTCAAAAAGAGCTGGGCAGTGATGGGCTGTGAATCTGAAGGCTCTTGTAGAGTGGCTGTTCTGGTAGGTGCTGGTGCTGTGTAGTGTCTTCTCCACACAAGGCTCACTGCTGCCCCTCCTATGCCATAGGGTCGTTTGACTCCAGATTAACCAGATCAGCATGGACCTACTAATTATCATATTGTTCATACAGGCCCTTTTTATTTTTACTGCAGTGTAACACAAGCAGTCCAGGTGGCAAATTTTTGCACTCAGTAGCTGCGGGCATGAAGACAGTGGTATGAGCATCTGAGGATGGTGACCTGTTCAGCAAACACAGCTTTTTATTGCAGCTCTTCTCTCCTTCAGACATGACTGCCAAATGGAATTTTGCTGGCAAACAAAAGAAGTAAAACCTGTATTTGCAAGTTATCTACGTATCAGTGTTATCAAAACATTTCCTACAGACTCTTTCTTATCCTAAGAAAAAAGACGTTTTCAGTTTGGGGGTTATTTTTCATTGCCAACTTAGTTTGCCATTTGTGGAAGCCTTTATAACTGTGGCAGTAAACCCCCCACCTTTCCCTGACAAATATTGCATCTCTACTACAGAGCTGTTTGGATAGCCACAGAAGCAGCAATGCTTTAGAAAAATGCAACCACAGATTGCGTCAGGGTTTTGTTTTTTTTAAAGTAATGCAAATTAATTAAACTCTAAAAAAAAAGAAAAGCTTGAAAAACATGTGACTACAGAGGGCAATTAAAACACAATTCTGTGCCATCAGAGAGCTACGAGCACTAACTAGCCTGTGCAGGACTCCTGGGTCAGGCACAAAACACATCCAGTCCAGTTGCTCATCCGTGATGCTGGGCCATTTCCAGTTCCAGCTTCAAAAGCGTGTATGGGAATCCTGCTATGGTACAAGTGGAGTCATTCATTCCCCTACATAAGCACTCACAAGTAAAATCAGAAATTCACTGAAGTGCTGAAGCATGAGCGTTAGGAGCATTTTTCTTTCAGCAGCAGCATAACACAGGTTATACTTGGTAAGCCCATGAATGCTGAGTCTTCTTTCTGACCCATGCAAATTTCTTGGCCTCTTTAATGTACAGTGACAATGACTGCAGCAATTAAGCAGCTCTGCAAGCACAATATTTTTTTTCATTTGATCCCCTGCAGGATAAATGCACTGTTGTATAATGGATCAGGGAGACAGAAATTCCTGCTCTCTCTTCACCAGTGTCAGGGACAAAACCCACAATAACTAGTAGAGGAACTGCAATTTTTATTATATTACTCCCCTCCCATCTACAAGAAAATACCCTAGTCAGCAAAACAGATAGCAACCGAAGCAGCTCTGCAATGTTTCAAGTGCCACTCTGATGTACAGACTTTGCAAGAAAAATTCAGGCAGGAGCTGAGTCGCAGTCACCTGGATAGTATGTGGGGAGCAGAGCAATCCTTCAGAAGAGGCACAGGCTGTCAGGGATGTTCATGAAGTCCTGCAGCTCAGCACAGGCTTGCCGGTGCAGGGTGGTGCGGCACTCGCTGTCGTCTGGAATTTTCTCTACCCAGGCTTGTGCATCAAGGAAGTACTGCATCCTGAGTGCAAGTGGGAATGGGTAAAGAAGGTGAGACACTACTGCTGACTTGCAGCAAGAGGAAAGTGTAAACCTCATGGGGTCACATCCCTCCACTGAAGCATCTCTGAGCTCAAGATGAGTTATACTAGCCAAGAAACTTGCCTGAAACCTAGTTTCACCAGCAGGTTAACTGAGCTTTGAATAAAGTTTAGGAGGAGTCAGTGCCAAGCTGGGACAAACCTGGCTGTACTTGTGTTTTGAGTGACACCACGTGAGCTTGGGCTAAGTTTCTATTGGAGTTTTCTGGAGGAGCACAAAAAGCCCCAGTGAACACCAATGGGACACAGTGAAGGGGTGTTTAGATACAACAGAGTATCTCAAAATGTTTCCTTATTTTCTGTGGTGAGAGGCCATGTAGCATCTGGCATTTTATGGCTGGGCTGGAGAAGACTTTAGAGGTTACACCTCCACATGGAGTCTTTGGTCTTTAGTAGGCATCTGTTGAAGCAGGCATCCTAACCTAAACACTCACATTGGTGTCATATAGAGATGGAGAGAGGGGACCTTTTATGGTTTTAGGAAGTTATGTTTACAATTTGACTGAGAAGTTCTCCCTCCTAGAACCTTCCAAAGGCACTACCTTTCTGCAGTTCACAGGGAAATTAAACATTTAAGATGGCTTCCTCGCTGATTACTTAATAGTCAGACTGAATTCCTCCTCAGATAAATTTCCTTGAGAAATGAGAAGATAAATTCCCAATAAGAAATGAGAATGATGTATTTACATGCATGATGTAACAGAAGCTTTGAGAGCTGCTTTTAGCCACAGTCCCACCCATTTTGCAAACACAGGAGTTGTGTTAGATGGAACTAAGTTGCAGTCGATGGAACTGTGTAGCAGTTCCCATTCTCCTTTTCTAGCTGTGAGTTTTTAACCCAGCGGAGTGATGGCCACATTTTGATTCTGTAAAGTGTGGGAACCAGGCTCTGCACATATAGATGAGCTGATGGATTTGGGTGGCTGAGCTCTTCCCCACAGCTTGCCTTTTGCCTAGAGAGTTAGTTAAGTTACTCTTCGCATTTTAGTAATGCCAGCAGAATCGGTCCCTAAGAAATTTGGCCCACAAATAGCAATAGCAGCCACTGCTGCTCAGAAACCACTGCACTTACTTGTTGTTGCAATCAACCGTTTGCCCATCTTTCCCCATGAGGAGGTACCGTTTGCCAGCGACCATGTTTAACTTGCATGTGGAGCGTGTTAGGAACTGTCGGTGGGCACCCACTTGGATGCTTTCATCGGCGGCTGTGGCATGAGAACAGAAAACCCCATGAACTTTTCTAATAAAGAGTAAAACCACAGCCCGCAGGACACAACACGTTGTGGTCATTTACTCCACTGCTAAGCCAAGGTAATATTTCAGTTGAGAGTTCTGGCTTGACACCAGAGTAAATAACCATGCTATGGCAGGACATATTTCCTTTAACATTACCTGACAAAAAGCCACTTCTGTCTTAGCTGGTTGTCTTGCCCTCCTCAGTAGTTGCTGAAGGAGCTGTTTTGCTATAGAGATCTTTCAGGCTTTATGGTGTTTGTTTAAATCCCAGAGATTGGAAAAAAAAGTCAAAGGAGAAAGAAAACTTGCTATCTTACATTTCAGATTTCTCAGGTCTTAAAAGCTAGCAAACTAAATTCAAATGTCTTAAGGCTCAACAATGCAGCAGGTAGTATTAAAACCTCACTCTCCTTAGTGCACCTGACCTGAACTTCACTGATGTAGCCTTTATGCTATTTCCTCTGAAGCTGATATGTAGGACATGCTTGGTGATCTCCACATTAAAATAACTTTGAAGATTCTGGTCTGGATTCTGGCCCAGAGGATTATTCATTTAAGAGCTGCACTGCCTGTTACAGAAGTGGGCATCCAAGGGAGAGAAGAAGGGTACTCACATACTGCAATGACATGAGAGCTAGAAAGAGGCTTACTCACCAGTATTGGTGAGTTGTTAACATAATGCATTAATGCATGTCATGAGGATACTGTGTTGTTTGGGGAGAACAACAGTTTTCAGAGTCCGTTTGAAAAAAAAATGCAGATAACAGCAATATTCTAATTTCTTACTCTCTAACTATAATGTGAAATGTCATGCACAACTGTGGTGACAAATTCAACTTTAAACCAGCTTAAATTACAGGTAAAACATCACAGTCCAGAACCTTGTGCAGCCTCTGCTTTCTAAAGTACTATATTACAAGTATGGAAAGTCTAGTATTCAATCCTAAGAGTAGAATAAAAACCTGAAGCAGGATATTTTAACACTAATAAGATTTCAGAAAATTTGATGTAGAGTGCTAATCTGTGAAACCTAGCACTAAGAACCTTATCTATTTCCTAATTAAAACTTGCATTAATTTTACATGTGGTACTTATAGGCCAGAGAAAAGTCAGTCTTCAGTATTGTATGCTGTTTTACATTTGCATTCTTCCAAAGAATAATACAGTATTACAGGTTTTCTCATCTAAGCCAAGACCTTTCTGTTGTTCCTATGCTACATGCT